TACTCTTACCTAGCATAATAAAAGTGAGGCGTCTTCTGTCTTAAAATGCATCATATAATGTGTTCGGACAAAAGCCAAATGATGTCTATTCTGTTTCAGCTATTTCCCAGTGATGAGTTAAACTTGAACATTTATGTTAAGTGTAGGCGTTTTTATGTCCCTACCGACACACTTAAGGTAATGTAGGGCGCAGGCTTCTCGATCTGAGAGGGATGCAACATGCCAGCAGAAAGACCAAGACACTCGGTAAAAATTCTCAATACCTGCTAGTGGAACTCGGGTCCCCCGCTACAACCCACTGACTGCGGTGAGGCGAGTTGAAAATTAGTGTAATAAAGGAAAAGATTATCAACAATAAAGACATCACATCACCTGACATTTTCTTTGCCTACTCATAACCTCAATCTGTGTCGTCCTGAAAAGCAACTTGTCTATTCTATGTTATAGTTATTGTTGGGCCTCATTCAGATATCTTAACATTAATGTTTGATTTATCAAGTCTGCCTCCTATTACTCTCAGAATATGCTGTGTATATTTTGGGGATTTTTGTTAATTATAATCTTATTATGTTGGTGCTGCTTTCAGATTCCAGTAAGATGACTTATTTGTCCCTCACAGACCAGCTTCTCCTAAAAGATTTTTTGTAAAGGAAGACATCATAAACTGATTTTTCTAAAGTGTTTAGTGAACAAGCATATTTTTTATATATTATATATATATATATATATATATATATATATATATATATATATATATATATATATATATATATATATATTATATTATATATGTATAATATACAATATCGAGTTTTAAATTGAAAGTGTATGAGATGTCAGCAGCATGCTAATCTGTGATGAGAAAGACACCATAGCAAACATAAAAACGTAGAAAAGTCAAAGAAATGCCGTTTGGGGGATTGAAAGCATTCATTACGGTATTATTATGATATCCAAAAAATCGTTGGGTAAACACGTTACACTGCCTTCGAAGCAAAATTTACGACGATGAAGTCGAGTCTCTCTTCATAGCAACGTCCAATAGGTGCAGAATCACTGCGAACTCGGCATACATAGTGAATGGATACAATTATTTATTGTTTCGATGACCATTTAGTGTATGCCAGAGAACTGGAAGTCTTAGGAATCCTGCTGTGTCGCTTAGAAACTTGGTGTCTGTGTCGTGGTAGATTGGCCCTTTCAAAATATCTAAAGCAGAGGATATGTTTTGAAAGGTTACAGGGTTTCTTTTTTTTTCAGAAAAAAACAAACAAATATCAAGACACTGGGAAAATTTGGAATGTTTAAAGAGTTCGTACACCGAAGAGGTAGGTCTCAATAAAAATGTTTCTACTTATGCCTAGCCCTCGTGTGTGTTTTGTGTTTTCATTTTCTTAGAATTCTTACTTCGTGCCTTTAGAGAGGGAAGCATGCCATGACGTAGGCAAGCTTTTTGTAATTCCTCGTGTCTCAGATCTGTTCTTGATTCTTCTTCATAGCAAGATAGTAATTCAGTTGTGCTGTTGTCTTCTGTCCAACACTTAACACCATCCCTTTTCAACAATAATAACAACAACAAAAAGAGTTACCTGTCCATCCAATATAATTCGTCTTTGTATTTCGTTTTTATCATCATAAATCATGCCTGTGATGATCATTTATATAAATGTTTATCTGACAATCGTAATGTCTTTGCCATTATTTTATTTTTTCTGATGTATATCTTTTTCTTTCGTATATTTCTGGGTGGTTATTACATGTACAAAGCTTGTGGAAACTCTGTTGCTCTGTATATTCCATAGTTACCCACTTTATTTTATTCATCCAAAGCGAAAAAAGAACATCAGTTTCAAGAGGAAGAGAGTAGCCAAGTGGTCCCTCTGACACAATGTCAGTGTCTTCTTTTTTCGAATTTGTAGAAAGCTCTTAGCAACGTGGCTTTCAAAGATTGCCGAAAACCTTTGCCATACATAAGTTAGGCTGATATATATATATATATATATATATATATACATTAATGCGTATTACATGTAAAATAAAATGTTAGGTTCTTTTAACCTTAATCTTAGCACTGAATCTTTAAAAAGAAGCATGTAATGAGCAGGGCAATTTTCAGGTCAAGTCATTGCAATGTCCATTTTGCAATCACCCATCAATAGAGCATGTTTACTAGTGAAGTTGGTGACTCCTGTAAGAACTGGTGCAGATATATTTTACGTCGCTGATCTGTTTAAAACCTGCCTAGACATTCTGTGAAAACCCTTTAAACGGAGCACTTGTTGAGCGAGGATTCTCTGAGGTTTCCGAAGTAACAATCTCTGGCGCCACAACCAAGTTAGGATTGTCGAAATAGGTTTGAGAAATTCCCAGAAGCAAAATAAACAAGCAACGTACAATGAAAATAAAAAAGGGGGGGGGGGGGGGGATTTGCGCACTTCATTTCCCATTAGCCATCGGATGGAGCACACGCTGAAACTACTGACTTTTTCAGCGCAGATCAGTGCCCATGCTTTAGAGCAATGCGTTCTGCATTCGCTGCGTTTTTGGACATAGCTGGTATTGGGATAATGCATTATTATGCTCTTCCTGCTTTGATTGTGCACACATGAAAACGCCAGACGCTATTGCACCAGACGACACGAGTGCTATCTGCTCGTTACGACGCGGATAAGGGCTGTCTTTCATTATTATTAATGATGATACTAATAATAGAATTTGCGTAGCGAAAATTTCCGCTCAAAAGCAAGCTCCGTGCACTTTACAATCTTTTTAGTATCCAAGGATACCCAATAGCATTCTGAAACAATCTCGAACTTCATGTGGAGCATGCAAATGCATATCACAGCTCCTATTTGATATAGATCTTTCCATATGATACTGGGACACAGAGCCGAAACTGTTTCTTTTCTTTTGTTAAAGATCTCTTTGCACCTCGACTTACGGTCACAAAATCAATGTTATATAACATAACAGACTTTCCCATTCTGCTGGCAAAATGCCTAATCATAATGTAGTATTGACTCGCTCAACAAGCACCTCGTAAACAGGGTTCTCGCAACTTGTCCACAGCTTCATGGTGTCTTGCTTTCTGTTGGATTCCATTTTGGATCACTTGCTAATCTACTGCAACATATTATGATTTCAAATGTGTTTGCGATGCATTGTGTTTGAGAAACTGATGATGTTAATATTAAATATGCCTTTATCAGATTTCTTCCCTTTCAATGTGTTTGTTTGTGCTTGTTTGTGACAGTGGGTTGTGGGTCTTAGCTAAATATTGGGAGGTTGGAAGCTGCCTTTGGAAGGTTTTACTCCTTTTCTTTCCTGCTGTTGCTTTTTCTGATAAGCGAGTCGTATTTTGTGCACGGATTAACCATGGGCGTATCGGTGTGGTTCTCTTTGGATAAATAAACGAAACAACTATGAAGGAGAGTAGGCATACTGCGGCATTCAAATTATGGGACCTCGGAAATAATGGTCCGTCTCCTTTGTTTTTAAAAATTAATGTGGGTGTTTTAAAGCACCAAAGGACACAATGGAGATCATTCAGGAGGCAGACTTCCGATCCTGTCTGTCTGGGCCAACCCAAACTGAGAGACTAGTTGGCGCATCCCGTCATAGAAGAAAGCAGGGTTTCGTCTACACCACACCCAGACACACGTAAGATGAACCCAGCACCTTCCCTTCTTCTTCCTCTTCCTTGTTTGTTTAATAAGCCACATTTTAAAAAAAGAGCTTTGGTTTTGAAGGCAGGCCAACAGACTCGTGGTGATTTGAACACGAGGTTTCCAGTCAGCTAACATCGGTCTACCGTCTATTAAGCCTGTATCAGATGTTCAATTAAAACTGACAGCTGTCCGTCTTCTTTGTGATAAGAAAATGACCCATGATGCGATCTCAGCAGAAATGCTTCTTTTTGTGTAATCTTCAAAATCCAGCAAAAAAAATTTAAAAAATTCATCATAGTGTTTATTTTGAAACATCGGTTCCGAATTTGATATCATTTCTATGTTAAGACGTAGTTTTCAAAAACGTTTACAAACGAGAATTCAATCACCAACGTGCTGCAGACAGTCCCAAGGTCGGACGCATAAAAATCAGGCCGTGTCTGATTTTTGTTACGGCCGACCGGTCGGACAGCTTGTCACGTCTGCAGCCCGGATGGACGGGTATCTTTGATCTGAATGTACAGTGCGCCTAGCTGACAGCTTATCTAAAGTTGAAGCATTTTGTCCAATGTCTTCCCCTATTCCTGGAACTCCATGTACCGGAATCTGTGGTGTAGCGGTTAGGCACTTTGCCTCCGCAAGAAGGAGACCCGAGTTTGATTCCCGAGTGGAAGAAATTGTTATCGAGTATCTTGGTCTTTCTATTAATTTGATTGTTCAATTTAGTTTCAGTGGGCTCTTTCCTTTAAAAATTTTGCCCTTCGTCAAAAAATTCTAATATCAACACAAACCTCACTAAGTTTTTTTTTTTATTATTGTTAATACAGATCAGGCTGTTGAACATATTTGCTGCTGAACAGTTTTTGCCTGTAAAAAAAATCACTACACGTTGCTTGAAGCAAGCTCTTTAGAGGTAGTCATTTTATCTCTGGTACCCAACCACTTATTATAACAGGCGCACTTTTGAGCGTGAATGACGTCATAAAGAAGGGGGATTTTCTGTGTCGGTAGTCAGATTGGTCAGAAAGCACTTGTAGCAATTTTCATTATTCTGCAATGAGTACTTAAAATGTTATGGCTTAACAAGCTCTACTTTTCAGCCGACCCTCTCAATTGATTAATATAAATCGAACCAGACCATACATATAAAAATCTTGTATAAATGATATTATATACCATGCGTGTGCGTATGTGTGTGTGGAGGGAGGGGGATGTAATGAGTGTGCTGTAATGAGACTGAAGAAAGTTTCTATCACTTCTTTTCTCTCGCATCGACGGAAAACATGGGCACAAAACAGTCTCACGGGTAAAAAGAAACCAACCCGTGTTCCA